CCCTTATCGGATATATGCCTTGAAAGAATAAAGTCAAAGCAGAATGGCTGGCAGCTCAGTAAGAGGTCTGCTGTGGGTCAAAGCCAATACATAATGCAAGGTCCTGGCACTCCAACACATCACATCATTCTATAAAATACATGTAGAGTAGCTTAACTGATAGCGAATTTTCTGGTTGGTTTTTTTTTGCCCGTTGCCTTTGTAGGAATTTCTCTTCCTGTTTCTGCACATGCACACATACACCCTCCCCCCATTCCTGAAGAATGAAATCTACCAGCTCCTGTAAAACAAACTGTAAACCAGAACATTTTAAAAAATATTATTATGATGATTATTTAAACGCCTATAAGCTGCTTCAACAATAAAGCGCTATTCTTTATTATATTCTGGAGATTTTAAACATCACATTAAAAATAATCTCAGTGAGAGCAAAGCTTGGAGTTTTGAGGATAGCTCTGCAAATTTACATTATTCCTACTAAAAAGATAATTAAGAATAGTTTGAATGAAATTTAAGATTTTTTAAAAAGCATTACGCAAAACTGATCTTAAAACATCCTCCAATGAAAGGGTAATGTCGCTAAGATTTCAGTATTGTTCTATATTTCACATCTGATAAGAGAAGAGAATGATCTAGCTGTCCCTCATGTGTGCTCCCTTTAACTGTGTGACTCCTTTGAGTTTATGCAGTACCCACCAATACAATTACAATAAGAACCACAAAAAAAGCATTGGCCTGATTGAGATATGAATTTCTCTCTGTTAAAACAAAAATCAAACCGAACTGAATTGTTACAAAGATGGCATATTTTTTTCTTCATTTCAGAGTTGCAGATGTGTATCTGTGTAGTGGGGATCTATCCTGTAAAGCATGTAGGCGTGCTAAGGCTTTTTGAAGTCAATAGGACTGCTCGTGTTAGAAAACACTCTAAGCATAAGTGGCTTTTTTATTATTTCTGTATATGTATTCACGTAGGAGGAAAAGTTAAAAACTTGCCTTTTCAGGCTGCCTGCAAGATTCCTTATTCTTAACATATCATAGTCATGAATTACTGTAAGCCCACATATGCCCCAGATATTTGTGCAATATTACAGCTTAGAATGAACACTACTCTTGGCAGGAAAAACAAGCAGTGCCAGATATTGCACTCAGATACATAGGTATGAAAGTTTACATATAAGTTTGTTAGTTACTACTGAAATCAAGGAAATTTGAATTTCTTGGTTTAAAATATCATCTGCTTTTTTTGATCTAAAAAAGACAAATAGCCATATAGCTTGAATGTAGATTATAGGTTTGATAAATGGCCACTATGCTTCAGTGAAGAGTAATTCTTTCTATAAATGAGCTACAATGCATGATAATATTTGTGTAAAGTGATTGAAGATGCAGCAGAATAGTACTGAACAAAAGAATGGTATATGCTGAAGGACTATGAATCCATTTTTCAATGATAGAATACTTTATTGGTATTTATGTATTTGGCTAGAATGGCAATGAGTGGCATTTTCAAATAACTTTGATATCAGATGTAAAATAAATCAATTTGATATATACCATGATAAAATTCTTATCTTGATATACAAATACGTTTTTATATAGAATTCTTGTAAGATTGACTAATAAACAGAAGACCAAAATGTAAATAAATTATGGAGAAAGGTTGACAGTAGGATGCCATATGGTTCAAAACCAGGCTAAATGCTATCTTATATACTGAGGATGCAAAATGTGCAAATGATTAAAAGATTAGAGTAACCAATATTAAGGAAGACTATAAATATCCAGAGGGATATAATGAATGCAGATACAGGAGAAGCTTGATGAGAATTTTGGTATTAAGTGTAATCTGTCATAGCAGAAGACATAATTTTACTAATCTTACAGATTTTGGAGAGAAGCTATGACATGTTTGGACAGAAAAATAGATACAATTTGAGGAAGGACATGATGTATAGTTATAAAAAGCAAAACGTGGGACAAAATAAATTAGTGTTTGTTATTTATTCTTTTATAGTGCAGGAATGATTTCCTGTTACTGTAAAAGATGACACCTCTAAAATTGATATGAGTAAAAACATCTTGGGACTTATTGCCACAAGGTATTGAAAGCCAAGGGCATTTGAGAGAGAGTTTGAGTGTTTGTATGAGTAACAGAGACATTCATAGATGAAAACAATTTCAAAATGAGAAATGTATATCAAAGCTTTAGCACATAAGCAGATTGGGTGTTGCTGTGTGGTGAGGAGGACCTGTCCTTGCTGGGAGTGCTCTGGCTCATGAGCTCCCTCATGGACCCCAGCGCCTCATCCCACGCAGTCAGACCTCGGTGGGTGCAGTACACAGGATGTGGCTCTTGCACCTTCTGGAGTGCTTCTTCAATGTTAGTATCGTCATATAAGGACATAATGTATTCCATGTAAAAGTATGCACACTTACAGGTAATAGGAGGAGGTGTGCAGTACTCTGTGCGTTATATTTCATGCTTTCATCTTCAGAATGGTATTGAAGAGAATGTCAGGCATAGCATAGAGGTGCTAATTTGCATGCAGTGATGTGCCACTAGCAAAGGCATTAAAGCTTTACAGTATAGCAAAAGGCATTATTTAAAGTCTATAAATCTGTTATTTTTACATTAAATTCTTTGTCTTTTAATTGTAGAACTCCAGGAGAATAATGTAGGAATGCTTATAATATTGAATTACTTACTGTCCATGATTCCCTATAAAATTCCCTGCAACATAAATGCCAAATGTGTACCTGATAACCAGCCATTAGTTATTATATGCTGACATTCAGAACTGAATTACCATGCATAAATATTAATTAAATTTGTTTTAAACATCATTGATTAGACTGTAGTACAGAGCCCTATTATTTCTACTTGTCAAGTCTACAAAAATGTTTTTAATCTTTTGTTCTGGGGCAGGTGTTATCTTATCATGCAACATGTTCGAAGGCAGAAGTTGATAAATTTAAGGTAAGGATTTAAGTTTTTAGTTATTTCTGAAAATATAACAGTACATTAAAATAGATGTAGATTATCTGAGATAAAAGCCTTACATCAAAAGCAGAAAATCATAACTAAGAATGATCTACAAAGGATGTATTACATGTTAGGATGTATTACATGTTAGGCTGTTAGGCAGGTAAGGTGGAAAAAAAATCTTTCAAAGGATAAAGACCTGCAGTGATGGGTCCACAGCAGCACAATACCGTTGTCCCAGCACCAGCTGCTGGAACTGCGCGTCAGCGTGGGTTGGGTGGCCTCCTCAGCAAGAACCACCATAGGGAAGTCATACCACCGTGGGAGGTGAGGAAGAGATGAGTGAAAATGAGAGCAACTGAAGACTTTACACGCTTATAGTATGGAAGCTGTCCTGTGTACTAAAAAAAGCAGTGCATTCACTATCAAGACTCTGCATAGGCTCAGAAGGCTGGACATGAAGGTGAGAAATCCTCTTCTAACTTCTGTAAGCACCCTGGGCAGAACTGGAAAGTGATGTGTGCTGAACGTAGCATTACTAGGGACCGATAGTTTTGTGTTCTCACTGAAACCTGCCTTGCCAAGGGGTAGAGTGTAGTGGGAACAGCGACCTTGCTCCTTCATCACTGCCAGCACTCCAGAGCTACTTTTGTGATAGGGTTCGTTTGTTATTTTCTGCTAGAGGAAATGTGACAGAAACTTGATGGCACTTTTCTTGGCTATTGAGGAATCAGCGTTGTAGAGGGCTCCTCAAAGCTGCTTGGGAGGCTCTTGTGAGTAGGTATCAGTGTTGGTTTCCTGTACGCAAAATGCATTGGAGACTGTGACGAGGTCTGGGAAGGAGATCTGGACTGTTGTGACCCTCCACTGCTGGCATTCCCTGCTGTGGCTCTCTGGCACCTGTCTGGCTGAAAAATAGCAGTTTGGTTGTTTTGACACTTGGCTGGCTGGCTGCAGCCTGATCTCTGGATCATGGGGATGGTTGTGGTGGAAGGCAGCAGCAGTGGGTGACTTAGCAGAGCTTATACTAATGAGTTACCTGGGTTGAGGAAGGGCAGTTATTGTTAGTTAATTAATTAGTCTGTAGACTATTGCCCAAATGATGGCTGTGCCTTAAAATTCTGTGCCAATACCTGGTGATAAGGGTGTAATATTCTCCCTCTATTGTAGTTATTGGTGCAGTTACCCACCCTTTTGTAAGATGAAGATTAGATCGCTGAATTGTTGCTGGAATCAAACATGCTTGAAGATCGTTCTGACACTGCAGCCAGCAGAAAATACTTTTGTGGCTTAATAAGTTGTATCTTATGTTCAGCAAAAAGAACACTGAATACTGTGAGAGGAGGGAAAAAAAGGGATGGGATAAAGGACCTATAATTTTTTTTGTGTTGTGTACTTTGGTTTACCTTAGAATAAGCACCTGTAATACAGCTTCTGTGACTGTCAGGATTCAACCAATATCTTTCTACATACAAGAAGGCCATACTTCTTGGTTGCTGTCAGCCATTGAAAGACAATTCTCCATCATGGTCTGTGTAGCTGAAATAAAAGCCTACTATGTTACTCTTTGGACTTAGACACCAGTGTGATGAGGAGCTTGTCTACTTGTTTTCCCAGGTGTCTTCATTAATAGATTTGCCGGTCTCCAAGTAAGGAATGTCTTGTCATTATCCATTTACCTTGAAGGCATGTAACTATCCGTTTAATGGTTATTGATAAGATAAAGGGAAATGAAAAAAAATTATTCACTAATAGCCCTGATAGATAAATTTATCTAAAGAACATAGATGAGAAAATGAGGAATATTACCAAGCCATGCTTAAACTAAGCCGAGATACTTTTTTCAGAAAAATCTTTCTTTTCCTATATCCAGTTGTCTCACTTTCAATTCCTGACAAAATGAGCGCTAGGTAGTCTTTGTTAATGCATTACACTACTGGTTGTAAACAAAACAAACCAACCAAAACCCAGAGAAGACCAGCATGTCTTGCGGGCCTTCAACAGAGCTCATCCCCAGAGAGGGCAATCCATCTGTGGGATGAAATTGCTCCCGTCTCCCCCCTTGCAGAGCTCTGGCAGCCATTCTGCCTGCCAAGGTCTCCTGGGGCATCCTACCCTGAAATCAGTGCTCTTTTCTCTGTTCATTATATTGTTATATTTTGTATAAGCCCTGTGTTATATTAGGGTCATCTTCTAGACTTGACTGGCTAATAAACAGCTCCTCCCTCTGGGGGCGTTTGGGGCTAAAACTGCCCCCTCTCCCTTTGGTGATTTATTGGCAGATGTCAGAGGAAATGTGTTTTACGATTTAGCCAATGTTCTGGTTCAGTCAGAACAGGAACAAACACAAATGATAGAAACTTCTAAATGAGACTAATGCCAGTAGTTCATTGCTGACTTTTGACTGACATGGGACCTAACAGTAATTAATGACTTTGGAGTGACAATACATTTGAGTTGACAAATTTTCAACATATTACCCCAAACATACTGTAACTGGACCCCAGCAGCTTGGAAATAATTACATATTCTTCCTCCTAGCTCAAGTTGTTTATTTCCATCTTTGTTATGTTATTCCTTTATAGTCTTAATAAAATGCTTTTCCATTAATTTTTATTTGCCTAAGATCTCAAGAATATTCTGATACAAAGTGAAAAATTGCAAGTGTACTTGAAGTTTATTTTTCCTCTGGCTTTTACCAGTGAATTAATTTTATTGCACTACAGAAAGCCTAGCAAGATTAGTTAAAGTTGACTTTTTTACTTGAAATTTTGTCAATAAATTCCTACTGTTATTGGATGAATTCACAAATGTACAAATTCACAAATATACCTGGTATCTTTTTAAGAATTAAATATAATCACTGTGAGCAGGTTCTGTAAAATAAATAGCATTTCTGTTGCTAATAATCCTGTCTAAGAATTAATGAAACAACAAAAAACCCAGCTTAATAAGAAACTCTTAAGAAATGAAATACCTTTCTCTAGATGCTAGGATGGGAAAAAGTGCAGAACACCATTGGTTGTGGAGCTGGAAAATACAGAGAGAAGTTCACAGTATGGAACAATGAAACGTGAGTGTATGATAATGGACTATGTCATGCAATTGGCCTATTCTATATCCGATTTCTGCAATTGTCTAAAACCAAAGCATCCATGTAGATTCAAGTTTTTGAAGGGATTCCATGTCTGGTGTTACTAGAATATAGCTTTCACGAATAAAAATCTGAAAGCCAAGTTTTAAAATGCATATGTGATTATAAATTGTTCTATTAATGAATGGATGTGGGTTTTTTTCAGAAGAGAATCTAATTAGGTGAATCATTACTGTAAAAATTCATGTCACCAATCCTTTTCATTATTTGCATTAAAGCTTTTGGGATTCATTAGCACTTACACTAGCAGGCAGACATTTCTCAGGAGGCCAGCGCAAGCAGGACCAGTGTGAGGCTCAGACACAGTGTAGGCAAGTGCAGCTCTGCTGACCTGGATGGAGCCACCTGCTCACTCTGCCCACACCCAGGGGGAGCGGGAGTGGAAAATTCATGCCCTTAACCCAGTGAGCTTCTTGAGTGATGAGAGAGGGGGCTTAGTCCTCCAGGTAGACATATGTGGAACTGCAGAGGTCTGGGATTCAGAGCCTGAGCAAATCCCTTACTCTCTGTAGGTGATAATCTGTCCCCAGGGAAGTGAACGGGAGGCTTGCCATTGATTTCAGCAGGATGTTGCTGTCTTCGGCTTTGTTTGGCATTGTAACATTGCGTAGTAATGTTTCCTCTGTCATCTGCCATCTATTTATTCACAACAATCAGTCTTTTGTATTGTGTTTTCTGATAGAACAAGATCTCTGAAAAAAAGTTAAAATTTAAAATCCAGTCCTGTTTTTATGCCAGTTTAAAATGTATGTTAAGTGAAAACGTGAGTTGGCATGCAGTGTAAAATGAGTCCTTTTTCCTGAAAATGGTAGGTTTTTAAATGGGGAAAAAACACAGGGAAGCTTAACTGGTAGAATTTCAGTAACAGGCAATTGAATCAGAATTAATTATTAATCAGAATTAATCATGGAGTATCTGCAATTATTCCTGTATTTGGAATATGCACTGTACTTCCAGGTTGTAAGAAAGAAGATGTGGGGTTTGTAAATGATTTATAGGATTAAAAAAAGAGCAATGAAAACATAGAATTAATAGTACATATTGTACATAGACTTTTTATTGCCAGATTATTTTATATTTATTTGCTACTCTATTTTTCAAGTTTGATTTTTATTTTTTATTTAAATTTGATGGCTTTAGAAAAAATCATTTACATCTGGTATACTGCTAAGTTCATATAAGTTGCATAATATTTTTTTTAGGTTTTCTGATATGTGCTGTGTTACTGTGATAGGTGGATTTCTGATACCATTGCTGTAGATACGGGGAGAAAAATTAAACTTTACTTTTCATGGGTGTTTGCCAGTAAAACAAAAAACGTCCACGTTGAGTGCAAACATTTCTTCCAAATCCGAGAATGTGTGTCTGATGTCTTCAGACTGATTTATCACAATGCTTCTGCTCACTTGCATCTTCATAACTACACTTAATCCAAACTGAATTTTGGCAGGATAAGCTAAAGTAATGCACCAATGAATCATACCCATATCAATACTCATTTTATTTTTTAAGGAGTTAGAAATAGGTATCATTTTAAAAACTGTGACAACTCTTTTGTATTTTAGACTTAAGAGAAATCCATTATTTCCATCATGTGCTAGTGTTTAGCTATAAACATTTGTATTATTGGAACAGAAAAATGTAAGGCTAGTGAAGCCTGATTAAGATTGATGCTATCCTATAGCATTGTCCTGTAGTGCTAGGCGGCTTCTCATTGAAATGCAGGCTCTCCAAGCCTAAAAATAGTTGTCTTTTAGACAAATATAGAAAGCCAAGATACATCAGCAAAGAATTGCAGAATGGTGTCCAGGACAGGATATTTATAGTAAGAGTTACTGAC